GAGCAGGAGGGGGGGGGGGGGGGGGGGGGGGGGGTATACTTTACAGCAGTACTCTGAAGAAGTTGTAATGGGAAGAAGAAGAAGAAAAACCCTACAGCTTGAGAGCAAAAAATGCAAAAAGGACTTCAAAAGAGCAAAGTTACTCAACACATCTCACTTTAAACAAGCCACTGAGCGCTGAGTCACAACGTACTGAGAAGGAACTTCAGAAAGAAAAAAAGGTGCATAGAATCGGAGTGCTATTCAGAAGCACAAAGGTTCTACAGTGACCGGGATGTGAAATGGACGAGGCCGGTGGCGATTCTAGGCCCCACTTTTCTTGTGCTTTCCTTTTTAAATAGGCAGAAAAGGGGCTTCAAAGTTACTGCTGGCTGAGCAGGGGGGATGTGGGTGAGGTAAAGTGGTGAGGGTGGGGGGTAATAAGTAGTTTCCAGGGCTGCCGATGCCTTTGATCCTGACAGGCAGCGCATGCAAGCCTGGGGCTGGAGTGGCTTTTCTGGATGGAGGCCTGCATGCTGGAGAGATCCAGGAGAGCTTGAGGGTTTGGACATTCATTTTAGAGATCAGATGCTTTGCCAGCGCTCGCTATCTGTCATGTTAATGTGAATATATTATGATGATCTTTGCAGAGCTTTCTAACCTCCAAACAATGTTCAGTGGCTATAGAGAGTGGGAACCTGATGTCACAGCGCAATGTATTGTGGGATGTAGTAATAGTAGTGAATGTAGACATTTTATATTATTTTTTTGTTAATATTATTCAGTGAGAATGGCTATGGCAATTGATACAGAAAGCATTAACCATCACAACAAGATCTTAGTTGAATAATATGACAAAATAATACAAAATGTCTACATTCACTACTGAACCTTGGTGCAATTGAAACTGAAATTAGGTAAGGTAAACAACTTAAAATGTGGCTTTATAATTATAGATTTATTATATGTTACAAATACATTGATTTGCACTGAATTGAACCGCTCGCACCACAAATACGGTGGAAAATCACTTCTGGAAATGTTATTTGCGGCATCTAGTTGATACCCGACCACTTGTGTATGATTGAGCCTATTAATTTTCTTTATTTACTGCATTCCTCAGTAACACTTTACTTGAAGGGGTGTGCATAAGACTAACATGACACCTTCATAATCATGACATGACACATGTCATGAATATGAAGGAGGTTTTATGCATGTTTATGACAACTGTCATTAAGTGTCATAACTGAGCGAATGACACTTAATGACAGTTGTCATAAACATGCATTAAAACCCTTAATATTCATGACATGTGTCATGTCATGATTATGTAGGTGTCATGTCATGATTATGAAGGTGTCATGTCAGTCTTATGCACACCCCTTCAAGTAAAGTGTAACCCATTCCTCTGCTTACTTGTTCAGCATCTCTAATAGTAAGGAATCTCGCATTTCATTCAAGGCATTTAAGTGAAGTTATTTATTTATACAGTATCCGCAAAACACATTTCAAAGCAGCTTTATATTAAGTTATTATGTTATGCCCATAATGGATTAATGCTTTAACATTGAGCAGTTTTAGGGCTGGGCGATATGATGATATATAACGATGCTATATGATCCACTGTTTGAGATCTACCTTATTCTCTTATCAGTTTTATCAGTACCTCTTTTAGGGAACAAGACTGAATACTATGTAATGAATATTTGCAGTGTCTCATACACTCGCACTTTTTTATTTTATTTTCGAATTATTTTTTAACGTAAAGAGATCTGCATATTAGTTTTGTTTTATTCGAAGCGCATCTAAACGGTTTCCCTAAAATGAATAATAAAAAAAGGTATTTTCTATGGTGATTTGTAATTGTTTACAATGTTTACATTGCACAGAATGCAACACGCTGTGACATAGATTTCCATTCTCTATACTCTGGCTTAGGGCTGCACGATTATGACAAAAATCATAATTGTCAATTATTCCCTTGAAATTGTAATTGCGATTATTAATTACGATTATCACAATTTACATTTTTTTATATGAAAATAAACCAGCTGAAAACACTCTAACTGAAAAACGTTTAGTGCTTTTCTATAGTATTAAGCCTCAAATGTCAACTATACATCGGACTGGTTTCTTCTTTAAATTATAAAAAAGTAAAAATATGAATGGTATTGTAATGTTATACTAAAACTAAAATAATGGGAAAAACCCTTAAGATAACATGAAGAAAAAAAAAGACATCGTAAGCACGCAGAATAACATACGTGGACTTTGAACGATTAATTGCCGCTTTGAACGATTACGTAATTGTTGCATCCATAATTGTAATCGCGATTAGAAATTTTATTAATTGTGCAGCCCTACTCTGGCTATACTCAACATCACCTTTATGAGTGAAAATTTGCCCAGATCACATTTCAGCCAAAAATTTAAATGCATACTAATACTACTACTAATAATAATGTGTTTATTTATTTGTTTGTTTGTATGAACCAAAACCATTAATTTTTATGAAAATTAATTTATATTTATCATGAAAATACTGTCACAATTCAAAAAATGTCCATGATTCTAAAAAGGTTAGAGAGAGAATTGTCCTGTTATAATCTCCTCAGATGCACAATAGACATAGCTTGTGGACAAACTCTTTGCATAGTTTACTAGGGCAAATTTTTAACCACTACACCACACCGCCCCTACAATATTTGAAAAAATAAAATAAAATAATAATAATGCATGTATATCTTATCCCAATATGAGCGCTTAACTTCACAACACAATCCTGGAGTGTCATACTCCATCCATAAAAGCTCAGAGCAACAGAAGAGCTCTAATCTGTGAGAGACGTCCACAAAAAGCCAATGCTGTCTGTTCCCTCCCATCCATCAGCACATTTGTGTAGGTTTCCCGCTAGAAAGATCTGAATCACTCCCTTTAGACGGCACTGCTTTAGTCAAAACAAATGCTGGCATGGTGTCAGTATATCCTCTTTCAGCGCCAGAGATTTGCGGTAGGGGGCCATCAGCAGATGCTGAAAGCATACAAACAATGAGCGAATTAATTCTGTTGCCAATTCATCATGGTCCATTCTGGTGAAAAGTGGGAAGTGTCTGTTCCTCATTGGAATGCAATCTAACCTTGGCTATAAGGGTCTCGCTGGACACATCTCAGAATATTGCATGTTCTGTTCAGCTGTTCATAGGATGGATCTTGTCTGCATGGACTTGCTCAAGTAAGTTCTCTTGATACTGTTCTCCCGGGGACACATGATCCTTAGCAAATCTTTTTTTCTTTTTAACATGGGCTATACATCTACACATGGGCAATAAATCTACATATGACTGCCACTAAAGAAGGACATCAATGAATAGTTTTACATCACACCATTGCCCATACCCACTGCTGCTAACACCTGTCTAAACCATGCGCAAACGTCACGCAAATAGAACAAGCAAACAGAATAAGCAAACAGAACCCATTATAATCACTGTTTACACTGGATACAGTATACAGATGCCCACTGAATTTCACACATAATCCATGAGCTTAAGACTGCTGACAATAGGACAAATGGAAGAGTTAAAGAACATTAATTTTGATCATTCGAGAAAGCAGTGTTGCTTCATCGATTGTCACATTTGAAATCTATTGCCAAAGAATTACTAATAATCTGCCCTGATTTAAAGGTTCCCACTTCTCCCATGAGGAGCTTGAATTTGTTGCTGCCTTTCATTTATCTTTTTTTTTCAAAACACAGACACAACCGCCAGAGTCCATCAACTGAAGCCACGCTTTCAACTCTGCAATGCCAGCTGAACATCATTTTTCTTAAGCCACATGAATGGAAAATGCAAATCTCATTCAAGTAAAATTAACTTTTCAGTGTGCATGTGTGTCCTGTATAAAAAAAATATACAGATCTCTTTTAAGTAAACTTTGTTGTTTTGATCTCATATAACGCTTTATAAAACAGAGATCGTTTCAAAGCAGTTTCAGTATTAAAGCAGGAAAGCAACAGAATCAATTAAACAAATTAACAAAATTAGGCAAATCCAAACTGTTGTAAAGCAGCTGTAGCAAGAAAATAATGTCATTATTTAGCTCCATTTATTTTGTTGTTGGTTCAGCTCAGTTTCAATAACTGTGTAAAGTTCATTCATTATGAAATAAGTTTAATTCAGCTATAAGCAGCTCTACTGAGAACTGTAAGTTCAATGTTGATTTATGTAACGGGGCTGACGAGACGTGAGACGTGTGGATCCATCTACAAGCTTTTATTCAAGAGACGTGGTATAACAGGCAGGGACGAACAATGGCAAACAGGGATATGGCGGGCAAAAACACAAGAATAGTCCTAGGGCTAGCGTAGGTCACCGATCGGCAGACAGAATCACAGGGGCGAGACGAGAGGGAGAAATACAGGAAAACAGGCAAAGATCAGAAACCGCAAAAACAGGCAAGGCAAAACACGGAGACTCGGAAAGGGGTACAGGCTAAACAATACTCAGCAGAGAAAGGTGGTTAGAGTGGGTGTTATATAGTGAGTGAGGTGATTAGAAACAGCTGTGTGCAGTGAGTGCAATCAGTGCAGTGTTCAAATCGTGCAAAAAATGATGGGATATGTAGTTTGGGGTGCTATGCAACAGTTTGTGTTGTGCGAGAGTCAATGTAATGGAAAGGGTGACCTTTGGTGGTGAATAAATGGAAGTCCATGGACCGAATTCGTGACAATTTACTTCAGTTTAATAACAGTGTCTGTGTTGCTAAATTAATCAACAGTGAACAAATTAATCGACACTGAAAACACATCGAATAGAATAACTAAATGTACTTAGCATGTTTCCTTCATATCTGCAAACATATTGGGGTATTTTATGCTTTAGAACAGTCAAAAAAAAATCCATACAGCACATCTAACAGCAGCTTAGTATTTGTGTATTGTGACAAAATTTTATTTCTCTGGTGTCACTCTGGTAAGCCCTGCACTTTGTGAATTTCTTTTGATCAAATAACTTTAAATATCTTAACTTCTTATTGGTGAAATAACTTTAAATATCTTAACATTAAACATCTTAGGTAACACTTTATTTTAAGGTGTCCTTGTTACACATGTTACATGTACTTACTATTATAACAATTAACAATTAATTATGCATAATTACATGCAAGTAACCCTAAGCCAAACACAAATCCTAACCCTAACCGTAAGTACATGTAGTTAATTAATATTACTCAGTACTTATATGTATAATTACACTGTAACCTTCAGTTTAATAACAGTGTCTGTGTTGCTAAATTAATCAACAGTGAACAAATTAATCGACACTGAAAACACATCGAATAGAATAACTAAATGTACTTAGCATGTTTCCTTCATATCTGCAAACATATTGGGGTATTTTATGCTTTAGAACAGTCAAAAAAAAAATCCATACAGCACATCTAACAGCAGCTTAGTATTTGTGTATTGTGACAAAATTTTATTTCTCTGGTGTCACTCTGGTAAGCCCTGCACTTTGTGAATTTCTTTTGATCAAATAACTTTAAATATCTTAACTTCTTATTGGTGAAATAACTTTAAATATCTTAACATTAAACATCTTAGGTAACACTTTATTTTAAGGTGTCCTTGTTACACATGTTACATGTACTTACTATTATAACAATTAACAATTAATTATGCATAATTACATGCAAGTAACCCTAAGCCAAACACAAATCCTAACCCTAACCGTAAGTACATGTAGTTAATTAATATTACTCAGTACTTATATGTATAATTACACTGTAACAAGGACCCCTTAAAATAAAGTGTAACCACATCTTCTTTTTGACTTGCATTCAGTGTGCCCCAGCAATTGCTTATACAATCATGCTAGGGTATAACATATGAATAAGCTCAGGGATCATGGCTACCTTGGAAACATCCCATGCCATGGCAACACAGCTGCATGGATCTGATAACAGTTTATTTGAGTGAGACAGGAACGAAGAGGATCACTGCCGTGAAGCATTTCAAGTGCTATTCAGTCTATGAGTCTGAATCCTAGCCTGTAATTACTCAAGAGATGGTGCGGGAACTGAAATCAATTATTACAGCAAGTACAGTATAGTAAGGTCAACAATGTAGCACACTAGCCAGCTAACTAGAAAGATAGATGTATTATGGATGGAAGGAAAGCACAGACATAAAGACAGATGTATTTAAAAGGTAAACTGATTGAATAAGAAAGACAAATGTTTAGATTTTGCTCTTTCGGAATGTTTTTCTGTTTGATGAGTCATTTTAACATGGCAATCTATCCTTGCTAATATTTTGTTTGATATCTTTTTTTCCCCATCACAGAACATTCTCATATCAACATGGTTATGACATATTTGTGGTTTACACTCTGGATACTAAGTAAACACAAGATTCACAGTGATTCTGTAGCAATCTGTGTAAAAATATCTTCTCATTTAAAATAATGCTAGATGCCACTAGGAATGTCTATGAATGAATGTTTCACATAGACTACATCATTATATCATTACATCATGTCTCTGAGACTAATCTGAGACTGAGTGATGCAACAGCTTAAACAGAAGCCACTCTCCCTTCTCTGTGCAGGTTTATTTTTCAATGTACAAAATTTACATGTATTGAGTTTGGCCATTTAGGACATTTCAGGTGTTATATTTAGCTCCGAGGGTGGCTAATAGTCTGTAAGGAAAATGGCATGCTTTCTCTGGCTCTTTGTCAGTGTCCATAACAGAACCAGCTTGAATAGGGAGCAAAGCATTAGCCTGTGTCCTTCTGCCTGTTCCCTCTGCCTGCATGTTGGCCATTTTAAGGCTATCTCTCTTTAGAAAGACCTGCCGTTGAATACAGCTTGAGTAACCCTGACGAGAGCTGCTCTCTAATTGGACGAGAAGTGCAGGGGCCAGATATCCCATGGAGGGTGCCGAAGCAACAGAGACATCAAAGTGGAGGACACAGAACCCAAATTAATTGAGTGTGAAGGGTTTTTGAGAGTTTTTTTCGATGGCGTTTGAGGGCAGTATTTCAGCACGCCCTATTTCTCCATGTTGGAAAAGCTTGAGGTTCTATATCAAACCTCTGCTGCATTTGATGAACTCATTTGTATTCATCCATCATTGCTGGCTTCCTAAGTCTGGGAGTCACAGATACACAGAGGTTTGGAGCTCATTCTCCCACAGCTGCTGTAGCTGTCACAATACTGCCTTAAACCTGTGCCCTCCTTTTGCCTCTGCCTTTCAAAGCCTCTCAAAAGCAGCTGGCCAGATGTCATGGCGCTAATCACGACGACAAAGGCAATGGCTTGGCCTGCTATTGTGCGCAGGCCAGGTGCCCAGGCTTGATTACTCCCACATATGGACATTTCTGAGGACAATTAAGAAAGCAACATCAGCCAAGTCGATCGAGAACTATTTGCAGTGTCCTTTCTCTTCTATGCCTTTCCCTCAGCAGAAAGGAGATCAGTGTTGTAATTATGAACACCTGTTCCTATTTCTAAAAATGTGCATGCTTTGAAACATGCAGATTATAAATTACATGGGCAGGAAAATTATGTTGTTCCTTGCCTTCCAACCCTTGATTTCTTTGGGAGCATATGATATCCAGTGGGTTTAACAGTAAAATCTCATTTCTGTCTGAGAAACTTTACTTTAAGTAGTTAGCATTCTGCATATGTTACCTGATGGAAAGTGCTCGTTGATTGGCCAGTTGTCCACCTGTAAGGTGGCGTTTCCCCCATTCCTTGTGAAGCGCACAACATGGTATTTTCCATCGTTGACTTCTGTATTCAGCTCTTTGACGCTGATGTCCACTGTGCCAATGTTGAACGTTACGCCCACCTTTCCTTCTTCCTGGAATAGAAACAACACAAACAATCTCAGCAGAGCAACACCACATGGCTGATTCAACTCAGCGTAAAAGGATGAAAATGCTAGCTTAAATAGCAGGAATCATTTGCATGTTAAAGTGATCCACTTTTAGAAACCTCTGCAATGATGCATGCAAAGTGATGTGGATGCCAAGAATGTGGTATTTTTTTATATCTAGTTGATAAGAATGAGCTGCCAACAGAAATGTGGGACATACACGTAACGATGACTAATGCGCTTTGTACCGACCTGCAAATTCACAAACATATGCTCCTCCACCTTTCACATAGCCTATGTATCCCATATGGCTCTAGTTTGGGGACATTTCATAACTCCCTGATGGAGAACTAAGACAACTTTCCCCATTGTCTTTTACACAGTCTGCTAGCTCTATTCACAAAGCCAAGTTTCACTCCAAGTTCGTGTTCACATAGCCATCATGAAAGGGTTTCAAGGCATGCCACACTCGATGGAGTGCATTTCCTGTCTTATGTCATTTGTTTTAATCCCCACCAGGTCTCTTGAAGGTGTACTTACCTGTCCTCAAGGCACAGTACAGAGGAAGCCATTTTTCAAACAAAAGGGAAGGTAAATAAATACATGGATGTGCTGTACAGAAGTGTGCGATAAATTAATCTGCCACCACACACACCAGCTTTCACTGTTCCTCAATGTTTTCTGAGGGCTTCTCAAGACTCAGCGTGCTCCACTTTCAATGAACGTAATCTAAGATCTGCCGACAAGAGCACACCTATTGCAATTGAAAATTAAAGTGGAGGTGCATGGGATGTTTTTAATGAGAGGTGTATTATGATTGTTAATTGTGTGAAGGCATACCAAAAGCTGAAGAATGCTACATTGATATGCACTGTTTGCGCTCTCCATTAGAGCCCCAAAAAAAGTGGTGCAGTACACAGCAACCTGATCTAAGAGTCTGTTTAAGCTCTCTGATTGCAGCTATACTATGCCTGGCACAACTCGAGATCTGCAAACTCCCATAAAGTAATGGCTAGTTGGGCAGCACCATCTGATTATTAGATGTCCAATTTCAGACATTGTGAGGGTTGAAATTATATCAAATGTGAAGGAGTGAATCAGGAAGCTTTACAGATTTCTCTGAAGCATCTCTTTCTATAGTCCACCAATTCTCTACCACAAGCAACATATGCTCAGTTCTAAAACCTAGAGAGCTGACTATTGAGGCAGCATTTTAAGTAATCATTAATGCACTCTAGATGCAAATGCTACAAATGTACTTATGCTGCCTCCTTAGATACCTTGGTTCTAAGGCAGCCTATATTGAATCATTTGCAGAGAAGGCATTGTGGCGAGCTCCATGTAAAAAAAAGAAAAAGAAAAAAAAAAGATGGTGTACGACTATACAAATGTAAATAAATGTATAAATAAACATTTAATGAAATACTCAAAATGAACTACACCCAATATTGCTAAGTGCTACGCATGTATGCTTATTAGAGTATCATGATGTTAACCTAGAAACATGCTAATGCCAAACTCTACTGAAATCATCTGCAAGTCAAATCTCCATAAGCACTATTTGTGTGGAGTTGCTGAATAAGTTAAAGTGTTCCAAATCACTCACTCAGTAAACAGTAAGCAGCTCACTAAGTTTTAGTACAGAGCTGTAGTCCTGCTTGGTTCCCTACTTGCATATCCAGGCTGGCGTGATAGACATTTCCAATTACACTGCATTGCCCAACAACATTTCATTGTCTTTTCAGAGAATGGGCTGGTTAAGGTAAATTGTATTCTAAAGAAAATAAAACCATTCAAAATGATGATGGCAATAATGACTCACCATTGTAACACACTATAGTCAATTTCAATTCCTATATTCAAGATATTGAGCAGCATTAACACATTATGGTAAGACAGCACACACTATATTGCTTTTTTCATTAGAAAGTGAACAGCACACAGGATTGATGCCTGCTGAATGTTGCGCTTTCTCTGATATAATACCTGATGTCTTACAGATGGTGGCAAACATTTAGAAAGTTATTGCAGAATTTCGCTGCGACTGAGAGCATAATGTCTGGTGTTTCTCCGCCGTGGGTGGTACCAGCGTAGCCAAGAGTGATAAAAGTAATTTGAGTTGCAGCAGGGTCCTGCACCGATGAAGAAGGGCTCTATCTCTCCCCCATGTAATGTTCCCTGACACCAGTAATAAGCTACACAATCCAATTCTGTCTCTCCGATCAATGGCTCCAACAAAAAGTCAGCCCCAGGCATCAAATCTCTCCCAGAAAGCCTCTAGAGCTGCGGCAGCCTGCAGACAGGTGCGCAGTACCCTGATCTCTTGGCAAGGGACTAAACCATATGCAACCATCTTCATCAGTATAAACAAAGCGTAGTGCAAAAAACAGCATTCAAATTTTCTACAGCAAATTTTTAGGCTATAGTTAGATACTTTTCAATTGCTATGTCCGAAACCCAGTTTGATTCTCCCTGCAGTTCTGTATTCACACTGAATCATTTGGCACCAAACCTTGGAACGTTTGCATCATCATTTTGTGTTCTACTGCCAGCTGTTGATCCTTGCATCTAGTTAACATCTCAGAAATAGATAGTTAAAAGTTATACAATTTTATTATAAAATCTTAAATCTTGACGTTGCTAAAAAGAACATTATTTTGTGTATTTGGTGTAATGTAATGTGTTTACGCAGTTTAAGTAAAAAAAAAAACACATTATTTTCCACAATGTACATTCTTGTTTTTCCTCTATGCCCTGACTTTCTGAAACGCGTTGATTTTTAGCAAACCTTTTACAAAGGTCTGAAAAGTGAGGTGTGCTCTGATTGGCCAGCTATCCAGTGCGTTGTGATTGGCCGAATACCTCAACGGTGTGACGGAAATGTTATTCCCCTTACCATACTGTGATGCCGTGTCCCGGCGCGACGAGACAAAACCAGTAAAACCCATTATAAACGAGGCATTTGTTGCATCCAGTGGGGACATAATTACTGATTATAATGACTTATACTGTCTTTTTACGCGTTGCGTTGCGTATCGCACAGCGTAAACATAAAACCATTCGTTTTTATGTCTGCATTTGTGATCGGAGAAACGACAAACAACAAGTGCTACTCTAAACTGCTCAAAACTCACGTTTGAATCGTCAGTGGCAAAATCTTTATATATGACAACTTACTTACAGGCTGTGAGTCAGAAGCACCAGACTGTCCTTGCAAAGTTGGAATTGCCCCACTTTATAGAAACAGACACTGGCATTGTAGGCTACTCTCTCAGAAAACAGTCTGCGCTGCACACATCTGAATATTTGGGTTGAACCGTTCCGGAACAGTGTGGTAAATACAACTTAACCACTGATTTCTAGTTGTGACCTCTTTTGGAAGGCCAAACAAAAGTAGCTTCGCTTTCACAATGAAACAAACAGCGTCTCCACGACATGGCGGTGGCGGCAACAATACTACAGCGAAAATCTAAGTTACGCCTTCTTTCTTTGTGTGAACATTTGGGCGGCGTTATGCAAATCTTCCCATATCATGATGTAGACATGTGGGGGCGTGTTAGAACAAGCCATTTTAGGTAGGTGTGGTTGACTCTTAACTTTTATAAAGAATATCTCTTTGGATTTGAAACTTTAATCTTTGCAACTTTACAGTTATTCTTTATGCACCAAGAGCTTATAACACTCCAAAGAGAAAGGAAAAATTGAACTAGCATCATATGACCCCTTTAATATACACAAATCAGCACTTGTGTCTGTCTGTCAAAGATAAAAAGAATGCAAAAAATCCAAGCTGCTTGTCGAAGGTAATTTCTGCAGAGACAAGCTGCAATGAGAAATGCATTATGCTATAATAGGCAAATTATCCGTAATCAATATATTTTAATTTCAGCAAGTAGGTATGGAAAGCAATCCAGCCTCGGTTTCTCTGAGTGAACCCCGAAAAAAAAAAAAAAAAAAAAATTTTTTTTTAAAACTATTCACACCAACCAAACTCTGAAGTGAAACAGACTGGAGAAAAAGCTGAAGTCTGAAAGGATCAAGTTCCATTTTGTTCCATTCCAGAATGATTTTAGCTACTTTGAAATAAAATGGGACCACCAGACCAATCTGACATAAGATCAATTGGTGTCACTCCCTAACTGTGGTCAATTTGTGTGCGAAATCTGTATTATTTTTTATGCTCTGTAACAGTTTAGGCCTATTAAACGCTAAAAAATATTATAAAAAATTATTATTATTATGGCAAATTAAATTTACTGTAGTTTTAAAATGGCTATATAAAAAAAAAAAAGCCATGTTTTATGCCAACTGTGCATATAAATACAAATAGTCCATATAATTGTTAGTGAATGAGCTACAATGATTCCAAGCAGTTGACCAAAACTAGCATCCGTTCATATGTCTACTCAGGAGATTCAGAAATGAATGAAAATACTTGTGGCTGCAAGTATCAAACAACCATGTGACCTTTGATGAGGGCATCCAGTATCAAATAGATAACTAATCCTTATGTATAGATTTACATAGGCCATCTACAGTACATGACCTAAGGGGTAAATTTAGCATGAGGTTAGAGCTCATCAAAATGGTATCATGCACATGCAAGAGATGAATCGATTGAATGAGATTAATGGCCTCTCGCTTGAGTCTGGGCAAAGATCTGCAGGCCTCCTCCACCAGTCGCCCATGAAAAGCTAGTGATTTAGTGATATTTGGAGGATGCAGGGAACATTTGGAAGTCTGCAGGGCCCCCATCATTGGGGTAAGTGATGACCCTGTCAGTACCTTCCTGCACACTTAATTCCAATATTAATATTAGGGCTGCACGATAAATCGCATGTGATTGTTATGCGCATCTCGTTTGCTCACCTAGTTCGCTGACAAGCTACGCAATATCGCATTCATAATCGCAGATGAATTGCATTCGATTATGAACGCGATATTGTGTAGCTTGTCAGCGAACTACAGCTCTGTGTATTAAATGC